GTGGCAGACGTTTTCAACGCAAAAACGTGTACGTTGGACGTTCAGTGCCGCTTTCCTATAAGCCTAGAAGTTTGACAACGGTGTTTGGATAGTCAGTGGAATCATGCTTGACGTCCCAAACACCATTGCCAAACTTCTAGGCTTATAGGAAAACAGCACTGAACGTCTGATGTACACATTTTCGCGTTCAAAACATCGGCCGCAACCTCTATAATAATTCTTCTGACATGGGTCTAAGTATAATTAATGATATTTTAACTTGGTTAGGATTTAAATCTGAAGCTTAAAGACGATTCGAGTAGTGAAGCAGACATTGACGGTATTGATTTGTTTAATGAAATCAATATTTTAAAGTTGCATTTTCCATAAAACCAGTCTAATGATCCACAAACCCTATTAGAATATCTTTTTACTATTTAATTTCAACATTTTCAAACACAGCAATAGCACTAAGAATATTACTTACATTGCTGGTTACAGTTGCATTTGGTGAAAGGTCCTTTTCAAAGTTAAAAATTATAGAAAAACTATTTAAGATCAACAATGCACCAGCAAATACTAAGTAATTTAGCTGTAGTTTCAATTGAATATGTAATCTTAGACAGCTTGGATACAAGAAAATTGATAGCAGATTTCGCAAACATAAAGGCAAGAAGAGTTCAATTTCTGTAGATAAATATTTATATGGTTTTACATTTAAATAAACAAAAATAATTTAGTAATAATAAATAGTTTTTCTTTGTAAAGTATTTATTTTTTTTCACACCCTTATGAGACAACACTAAAGAACCTTTCTGGCAAGCTCAGCGTAGGTAGTCGTAGTTAAACAGGGGGCGTCATAATCGGTATTGCACACGGGCATTCAAACAGCTAGTGGTGCCCCTGGCACAACCCCTATTTTAGAATCCACTGACTGGAACTTACTATGGAGGAAGACAGTATGCACAATCACAGATAAATCAAAATTGTCATTAAAAGCAATGATCCTGCAAAGAAAGCCACTAAGTACACCAGCAAATCCACTGACTGGAACTTACTTGATTAATTGTTTAACACTTACTGGGCCAATCCACTTAATGGGCTAATCCATGAACTAGCTGATATTAATGATGTGGACAAGCTGGCAGAGCATCTTAAAATGTAAACTATCATTAATAACTTTTACACAAGAGACTCTATAAATAAAAATGACTACAAATTAATTCTCTGTTGTTTATTTTTACTAATGAAAAGCAGTGGTGTTTCCATGGAAGCTGTGGAAGTGCTGCATCCCTTGTATTTTCTAAAATATAAATACATATTGTGCAATTATTTTCATAAACAAGTTCTTACAGCTTTGTTTCATGGCAATGTATCTATTTTAAAATTAAAATAAATAACTGTTTATTTTTGTCATTTCCAGTATTTGTTTATAATTTTTATGCTTCTCTATCATCAAATGTCATTGCATGCCACTGACGAAAAGATATACACAGTATAAATACAGTAATGTAGTAATTTTTGGAAAAAGTTTTAAAATTAAAAAGCTTGTTTAATTTTGAAAATATGTTTATAAAAAGCATAATTATTATTTTAAATTATATTCTGTTGTTTGAATTATGTTAGAACTCTACTATATGCAAGTTTACAAATTTGATTTTCATTTAAAGTTTTCATTCTTGATAACACTTTAATCCAGTGATTCCAAATTAGTGTTCCACAAATATTCTATGGAAATTCAAGGGTACTTGATTATTGAAAACCACAAGTGTTTATTTTTGTTAAATTTTGAAAATTATTATATTATTTGAAGTGTATTCTATTTTTATTATTAATATAGTCAGTTTAATGTTCAAACTACTTAGCACATCATATCACGGTCATAAATCAGATATTTCTTCAATATAAATATATTTTATATATGTATGCCCATGTATTCATTTATAATAGAAACTTGCATTTGCTGGTGATTATTAATGTTGCTTTCATTTTGTAACAAAGTTACTTTGTATCAAAGCATGGTATGTCAAGTTTGTATAGTTTGTAAATAAAAATAGATTGTTTGCAAATATCTTTTCTATTGGCAATTTTAAATCAGATATTTCTTCAATATAAATATATTTTATATATGTATGCCCATGTATTCATTTATAATAGAAACTTGCATTTGCTGGTGATTATTAATGTTGCTTTTATTTTGTAACAAAGTTACTTTGTATCAAAGCATGGTATGTCAAGTTTGTATAGTTTGTAAATAAAAATAGATTGTTTGCAAATATCTTTTCTATTGGCAATTTTAAAGGCTTATTTATGAAATTAAGATTGTATTATCTTATTTAAAGCAAGATTGTATTATCTTATTTAAAGCAAAAATTGCTTTACAAAAAATATTTTTTGTAAAGCAATTAAAGCAAAATTTTTTTATAATCAAAAATCTAACTTTAAAACAGATTTGAGAACCAATGCATTAAAGAATTAAAAACACCATAAATATATCACTCATAAAACCAACACCAGCACATAACAAGATAAAGGGCACTTATAAGTATCTCCCTGATGTGTTAGATCTAACGCACTTGATGATGCACTCATCCTTCTTCGAATACAAAGATGTCACCTACCTACAGATGAGGGTGTACCTATGGGTAGCCCAATATCCAAAAATGCTTTGTGAATTAGTGGCCAGAAAACACAAGAATGCCATATTACCTAAATTTCATGAGGACATAGCATTGTATGTCAGATACATTGACGACATTCTCATAGTATGGAACAAGGTGCCCAACCTGGATTCAGTACTTAAGTATTTAAATGATAATCCCTATGGCCTGTCACTAAAAGTTGAACAAGAGAGTCGTACGACAGTACATTTTTTTTATATCAACATTAATATGAAGCATGGTCATCTGTCCAGCTGTGTTTTCCATAAAAAGTCATATACAACTCTATTTATATCTAACCATTCACATGACCCTTATTGTTACAAAGTCTCTGTTTTTCGATCTCTGGTAAAAAGGGCCCTCACACATTGTTCGGAGCAAAATGAAAAGAAAAATGAATTATCTTGGATGAAGGGCCTAGCAACACAGCATGGATACCCATCCTCTTTGGTCAAACATCTTATAAAACAATATACAAATAAGGGGAACAGAACTAATCTACATGTAGAATGAATGAAAGTTATCACATACAACAAAACATTTTCTAATATATACAGAGAAATAGCAAGGACCACTAAAATGCACATAGCATATTGACACATTCCAACAATCTTCTCTCTCATCAGAAATGATAAAAACCATAAACATGACTCATACTCTCCATGGGTTTATGCCATACCTCTTTACGATGACCAAGTTAACCGCTCATTAATATACATTGGAGCGACTGAAAGAGGTCTCTCATCATGAGGATGAAGGAACAGGAATATTCCATAAGAAAAAAGCTGACAACCACAATGTTAGCAATGTATGCGGGTTAGTGAGGAAGTCCGGGTTGAACTACAGAACGCAAAATTGGTACACGGTGTCGGATAAAACACGACTCAAATACCTTGAAGCACTTGAGATCTACATGCAATTAAACAGGAAGTCGCTATTAACTTCAAGGAAATGGACATGCTATCCACAGCATGGCATGCCATTTTTGAACTAGATTCTGCTGACATAAACTTGCAATAATGAAAATTTAAACTACAAAGGATATTAAGATCATAGTAATTAACATGAAATTAATTGATCATTTATTCGTTTGTTGTTTGGATGATATACATATTTTGAAATTTTATCCTGAACATATAAATTTTAACGTAATGTATTTGAATCATGTAATCAATTCAAACTTTTAAAAAACACACTATTTTTGTTAGCTGTTTGTTCAATATCATATATACCTGAGGATGTCTATTTCATAAAGATGAAAACGCTCGTAAATTTTTCCTTTTTTTCTTGNAATTGATCATTTATTCGTTTGTTGTTTGGATGATATACATATTTTGAAATTTTATCCTGAACATATAAATTTTAACGTAATGTATTTGAATCATGTAATCAATTCAAACTTTTAAAAAACACACTATTTTTGTTAGCTGTTTGTTCAATATCATATATACGTGAGGATGTCTATTTCATACAGATGAAAACGCTCGTAAATTTTTCCTTTTTTTCTTGTTATGTGCGGGTGTTGATTTTATGAGTGATATATTTATACAATCCCAGTTTTTGAGATACAGTAATACCTCGACTTACGCGAACCTGGAGTTACGCGATTTTCAAATCTCGTCAATTTGTCTTTTGTTTGAGCGCCACGCAACTCTTGATTACTCACTTCCCCCACACTCAGCTTACATGTTCGAACGTGTCGCACAGAATCAACACATAGCTACAATTTATTTTGTGTTATTTATTTCTGTGTTGTTATATCTACAGAGATTTGAGAGACTCTACGTGGTGATTTCTTATAACCGTGAATGAATCAAAAGACGAGATAAGATTAACAAGAACATTTATTAACTTACATACATCCGACTTGGATTTTACATAAACTGCGAAATTATACCCCGACTTATGCGAATTCGACTTATGCAGTTATCGCTCGGTCCCACCTATCACGTAAGTTCGGGGTATTACTGAACTTACGTGATAGTAATAGTATATTGAAGATGACAACACAAATGCTCAAAATATGTGTATATATATATATATATATATATATATACACATATTTTGAGCATTTGTGTTGTCATCTTCAATATACTATTACTATCACGTAAGTTCAGTAATACCCCGAACTTACGTGATAGGTGGGACCGAGCGATAACTGCATAAGTCGAATTCGCATAAGTCGGGGTATAATTTCGCAGTNTTTAATTGAAATAAGCTACAATAATAATAAGAAATAAACAACTTATTTATTTTGAAAAATATGACTGAATCATTTATAAAATAAACCATCTTTTAATTATATTATCAATTATCATCATTATCATTATTATATATATACACTAAAAGAAGAAAACTAACCTTTAAAACTTGTGGATTATTAGCTGCAAACTCTTTCCATTGATCAATTGAATAATGCTTATGGATGGCAGTGAACAGTCCATACTAATAAAATACAAAAATTATTATTTGATATATAACTAACAGAAAAATACAGTCAGTTTTAGAAATTAAAGAAAAACTTTTCATAATCTATAATTAAATACATTTCATGTTTAAAAGAATAATGACTCATTATTAGACTGACCATAATTTATTGACACTAAAACAGAATGGCATTTGCAGCTGATAAATAAAAGTCCTCTTATTAAAATTCCATTATTATTAATTATTATTAAAATTATTATTATTATTGGAAATTTGTTAATATATTATTATACTGATTTAGCAGCATAAAAAATACATAAATCACTCAAAGCTTTTGTTTTCAAAAATCTAATAAAAGAAAAACTGTATTTATTACTCAATTCTCCACAGAAGCTAAAACCTTAATTATTACATTAAAAACACTTCAAACACTACTTCCAGCAGATAGCTTCTTTAGCATACAGATGTTTTTGGTCTCTTAATTAAGTGGTCCCCCAGGTATAAAAACAAGTTTGATTGAATTGAAGAGATTAAATAAAATTTGGCCTGATTGGAAACAGTTGAGTTCCTACACATTTGAAAAAATTTTTAAAAAGCTGACAACCAAAGTCCAAATAATAAAAGTTCAAGTTAATATTAGAGTATGTCAAATTTGATGCAACCTAACTTTAACCTTAAACTTTTATTATTTGAAATGTTTTTATATGTTTTGAATCTGAATTGAATTTTTGAATATGTTGGACCCAAATCAAATGGTATCAATTGTCAATTTTTAAACATTTTTTCAAATTTATAGAAACACAACTCTCACCTGGCAAAATTCATTCGATCTTCTACCTGAAGAGGGCCATTTAAAAGGCTGAAAATTTATGTTGAAAAGGCTATCTACTGGAAGTGTTTTTAAGGTAATAATTATGTTTATTGCAACATATCAAATTTAATAGTCATGTTGATTTAAAGGTTTTCCAGGATCAAACAAAGTATATTTTTCAGATGAACTTACTTTGATTAATAAATTCCACTTGGTCACAATTTTATCATACCAGTTATCACATTATAAGTCACAATTTTGCTTTATAACTAGCATTGATTTCATGGCTTCATTAATTAATTAACATTGACTTCTATTTTGACCACAGAAAATTCACAGTGAATACATTCTTTTTACAGAAGATGTAGTTTCAGGAAAACAAAGTACTAATTCTATCAAATTATTCTGGAATTCAAAATTGGTTTTGTGCATTTAATTAAATATTTTGATCCATCTATCAACTACACCATCTGTCGAGAAAGTTCTGCGACAAATTTTTATGAGAGAGACTAGTAGTACTGTCTAATCTTTTAATTAAAACTTTCATATTTAAACATGAAAGTTTTAATTAAAAGTTATTTAAGAATGCTATTGTCAGTCTTTTTTCTATACTACACTTGTAAAAATAATACTTTTCCATCTGCTGTCCATAAGCTCCAAGATTTCTGATGTCATCCATTCCTCTCTTTCTATTCTCAATGAATCTGATGTCGTGTTCTTGTAAATGGTTGATATTGTACCTTATTTGATTCCTGATTTCATCTACTTGTTCATGCTAACAAAAATTTTGCTAACAAAAATTTATACTTAATCATTGATATAAAAAAATAACATATATTGCAAACCTCACATTATATTTTTCCATTTTCTGAAATCTAGTAGTAGTAGTAGTAATAAAAGGAACAAGGCAAATCGATATAGGTAAAATAAAAGACCCTGAAATAAGAAAAAAAATTGGTCTCAAATATGAAATGCTTGTTGAAAGAAACACCATCACAGCATGAACAAGTAGATGAAATCTGGAATCAAATAAGGTACAATATCAACCATTTACAAGAACACGACATCAGATTCATTGAGAATAGAAAGAGAGGAATGGATGACATCAGAAATCTTGGAGCTTATGGAAAGCAGATGGAAACATAAAAGAAACAATGAAAAATACAGAGTTAAATAGAATCATAAGAAAGAAATGCAGAGTTGCAAAAGAAAAATGGATGTCCGACAAATGTAAAGAAATAGAACTGTTACAAGAAAAGTATGACACATTCAACATACATAAAAAAGTAAAAGAGATGGCGAACCAGCACAGAAAACAACCTGGATCAATTCTTAAAGACGAGAACAATAACATTGTCATAGGCGTCAAAGAAAAACTGAAACAATGGAAAGAATATATTGAAAAACTTTTTGATGACAGTAGACCCAATAATCCACCACCGACAACTGATATTAACGAGGAAATTCCCGAGATTACAAAACACGAGGTTGTTTATGCCATAAATATACAAAAGAATGGCAAAGCTACAGGGAATGACAGAATTCATTCTGAGATCCTGAAAGCTATAGCAGAACAAGAGGGTACAGGATTGAAATTACTAACAGAATTCTTCAATATTATTTATAAATCTGGTAGAATACCTAGAAGTCCACCTTCATTCCTCTACCCAAAAAGATTGGTTCTTCTCGGTGTGATGACTATCGCTTGATAAGTCTAGTGTCGCATGTGCTCAAAATCTTAAAAATCATCCATAGACATATATACAGGAAATGTGAACTAGATACTGATGAAACACAGTTTGGATTTTGCAACGGGCTTGGTACACAAGAAGCACTCTTCTGCTTAAATGTATTAGTTCAAAGATGCAGAGATATGAATGCCAATGTTTATGTCTGCTTTATAAACTATTGTAAAGCTTTTGACTGTGTAAATCACCAAAAAATGATTGAGATCTTGACATCAATTGACATTAACAAAGGCAGTCTGCATGTCATCAGTGAACTGTACAGGCATCAAACAGCAGAGGTCAGACTTGAAAAAGAAACTTCTGAAACCATGTTAATTAACCTATTCGATGTTGAAATTTTTATTTGTTGCCTGTGATGCCATGTTGAATTTTTGTCAATGTTAAACCTAAAAAAATTTTTTTTTTAAATAATAATCGTGTTTACTGTATTGTAAAAAATTATTTTTTTATGTTTCACAAACAAAATAAATATATTGAATAATATAGAAACAAAAAAATTATATTTTAAAAGTTTATTTTAATATAAAAATTGTGACGCTTAGCGACATCTCGTATCAAAAACGTTCCAATGTAAACACGAAAATATTCGGGATTGTCCACGCAGGTCAATGAGGTCAACATGAATATTTTCGGGAACAATATAAGACAGGTTAAGAGAGGAGTATGTCAAGGTTGTGTGTTACCCCCCTCCTCTAATATATACTCAGAGGTCATATTCAAGGAAGCGTTAGAAGACAGTAATTGTAGGATCAAGGTAAATGGCAAATTAATAAACAACATTAGATATGCAGATGATGCAGTGGTTATAGCAAGTAGTTCCGAAGAATTACAACAACTGATGGACCGTATTGTGAAGTACAGTTAACTGCATGGTCTCTCTATGAATTTTACCAAAACCAAACTTCTTGTGTTCTCAAAAACAAGAAAAAGTGCAAATCTTGTCACGGAAACACTATCTAGCAAGTATTATCTCTCAAATACTTCAGTACAATAATAAACGAACAATGTGATCAACATAAAGAAATAAGAGCAAGGATCGAACAAGCCAGAACATCGTTTATGAATATGAAAAAGTTTTTTGTTAGATCTGAATTGAGTTTATGTCTGAGGATTCAAATGCTAAGGTGCTATATCTTCTCCATCCTGCTATATGGATGCAAAAGTTGGACTCTGGACTCCCAAACTGAAAAAAGAATCGAAGCTTTTGAAATGTATTTGTACAGAAATACTTCGAATATCATGGGTGCAAAGGATTACTAATATTGAAGTCCTGAACCGCATGAACAAGCAAAAAGAACTCCTGCTGATCATCAAAATTAGGACAACACAGTACATAGGTCATATAATGAGAGGAGAAAAATATCAAATTCTTAGACTAATATTAGAGGGCAAAATACAAGGAAAAAGGTCTATTGGAAGACCAAAGAATCAATGGTTGAAAGACATTACAAGGTAGTTCAGGTGTACATCTATGGAGATATTCAGAGCTGCTATATCAAGGACAACGTTAGCTATGTGGATTGCCAACCTTCGACAGGAGTAAGTAGTAGTAGTAGTAGTAGTAGTAGTAGTAGTAGTAGTAGTAAGTACTTTACACAGATCAAAAACTTTTGCTAGCAATTAAACCAGCAGTTGTCAGTTACAAGACAAACTTAAACTAACAAGAATTAATAATAATATTACTACTTCATGACTCATACAGATATGTTCAAATTTTTTGATGTGTACTACTCATAGGTCATTGGGCATATCTGAGTTAAATTAATTAAAAATAATAGGAGCAAAGTAGCCTGATTTAATCTGGCAGTAGTTTGGCATACTACTAAAATATTAGGCTTCGAGGTGTTCACATCTGAACATTTTAATAACATTCTTTTAATTCAAAATTTTCCCTATTACAATAAAATAAACACTTTTTTTTTAATTTTCAAATTAAGAAATACATGAGATTAAAGGCAAAGTCAATTTGATTATACTTCTTATTTTTATACCTTTAGTAAGATCATGATGATGTTATAAAATCATATACAGTGGAACCCCGGTTAACGAACTTAATCCGTTCCGCGACTCCGTTCATTAACTGAAGCAATTTTTCCCATAGAAATTAATGCAAATGCAATTAATCTGTTCTAGTCTCCAAAATTTTTGTCATTTTATTTGTAATATACAGTAATTTTCTTTGATGAGAATGTAGGAAAACGTAGTATCTATCATTACAGCAACAAACATGTATACTTTGTTTAATAAAATAGCACTGTATATACCTGTATATGCAACAAACANAATATACAGTAATTTTCTTTGATGAGAATGTAGGAAAACGTAGTATCTATCATTACAGCAACAAACATGTATACTTTGTTTAATAAAATAGCACTGTATATACCTGTATATGCAACAAACATGTATACTTTGTTTAATAAAATAGCACTGTATATACCTTCGTTTGTTGTAGTTGCTGGCAGAAAAGTGGAGATATATGAACCTTAATGCTTAGAAAGAGAATTCCCTCCAAAAAAAAAAATAATGGTTAGCACTTCATCGGAAGATTCTTCGAGTCGAAGTCTCTTTTGGGAAAAAAACCCACCAGTGGCTAAGTGGTCTTCGTACCTTGAACACGGGGAGTTCGTTCGTGGGTTTGCACCTCGCTCAGACAGGCTGGCCACATGGAGTTTTCCGGGATTTCTCCACGTCTGTAACCCCTAAATAGAGGTCAGTTTCCCTTAAAAACACCTACCAGAAGGCATTCCCCCTAGTCAGATCGCCCAAGTGTTGCGTTGTCATAACTTAACAAAGAAACAAACTCTTTACGTAAGGAACAAGAAATTGATCTAAAGTTGATAGTCTTACTCTTTTAATCAAAATTTTTCTCAAATGCGATAGCGCATTGCCGTTTATATTGCGTTGTCGTTTTCTAATGCCACTATGACTTTTTTCTTTCTTTGATGCCATATTGATTAAATATATAAATCACAAAATTGAAAAAAGAAGTATAGCACAAACACTCGGAAAAGCAATGTAACACCCAACTTAACTCGCACATACCTAACACCAACAAAAATTTGACACAAAATACTGTTACGTTCATTATCCGAATTTTGTTTGTTATCTGAGACAAAATTTTTGCAAAATAAAAGTTTGTTAACCGATTTGGTCATTAACCAGGACATTCATTAACCAGGGTTTCACTGTATCATCATCTTGATTAGGTATTTTAAGAATTTTTTAAATTTTCTTCATTTAGGCAAATTATATATTCCCCATGTTAATGTATATTCTGCATTTTTCCCATTCAAAAAGTCTCTATTTTGGGGGAAAAAACCCCAATCTGGCAACCTTGTCTTTAGCACTTCTGCTTTAATTCACAAGAAAAGTAGCAGACTACATCCTTAACATGTTCAAATGTTTCTGTTCATATATAAAAATATGCAGTAGACAAAAATAAGATCATTAATTAATCTATTGAAGTTGAGATAACAATACTAAGTTAAAAAGAAAGTACTCAAAGTCAAAATAAAAAACTTCAAGTTTCATTTCTTAGAATTTAGTAAATTGTTTGACTTTCTACATAATAATGAATTGATAAATAAATAGAACAAGTTTAATAATAAATATTAAATGAAATTATTAAGTAAGTTATATGAGGTAATTAAGTTTGCTAACGTGTTCAAGATATTCACGTATTTGAATATTTTAAATCCTGTTAAAATCCAAATTTGAAGCAATATTCACTCATCTCTAATATATATATATTGTTAAGAGCACTATCATATTTAAAATTTAGATTGGAGCTTATAGGATTATATTTTTATGGGAATGATGGAACAAACCCTAGACAGGATATATACAGTACTATGCTAGATCAAGGGCAAGGCATAACTAGAACTGTGAAACAAGTTATTAATATATCTAAGCACAGTTCAAGAATTTAGTATGACGTTCCATGACGCAATGTATGTGCCATGTCAGGCCCTAATGTTTTGAAGCTCTCGTATACTTAATGTGGCAGTACAACCCACACGCAAGAAAATACTACTGGCACATAAGTACCCCATTCATTCACCACTTTATTTTGCAGACAAGTTCCAAGTATAGAGTCTGAGTGCAAGTTACTCACGCACCGCCCTGGTGGAAAATATTTACATAACACATACAAGAAAAATCCGAAGGGTTTCTTCTCCATTTGAACCCTTAAAGTGGAAATAAATGAGACATTCATTTATTCACTATTAGAGAAGATGCAAATGTTCTACTTTAATTATTATTTACCTGCAATTGTAAATAGTATTTAAGTATTAAGTGTAAATAGTATTAAGTTCTTTAGTGTTTTAACAATAAAAAAATTTCATTCACTTATAATTGGTGGCTGTAGATTTACTAATACTACACAAACAAATATTATTTTATCTACATATGGAAGAAGTGAAATGGGTAATCTACAGTTCAATATTTCAAAAATTTTAATTCTACCAATGGCTCTCTCAATGTGAATTCTTACACGAGCAATTTTGTATGTTTCGTCCATTTCATTACCACTAAACTGCTTTTAATTTGGTTTAAAACAATCATTTGTTATAAACAAATCTGGACTTCTTCCTCCATACCTACTAGAAAGTAAAGTTATAAGTCCTGATGGAGCAATTCCAATTAAATATTTTATAGTATAAGCAGATTTATAGTAACTTAATGTAACTTATATGTAACTTATTTTCCCTAGACAATTCATAAACTCTAACAGGACTGGAAGCATGTCTAAAAGTAAATTGAAAACATTGAATCCTACTGATGTTAGATCTTTTAAAAATTATCATCATGAAAATTTGCTACACCACTAAAATGACATGACCTATGATTTTCTCCACATCCTTTTGAAATCATTTTAACATGGGAAACTTGAGTTTCAGAAACATTGTTACTAGTCATGCAAATAAAAATTCTTACATCTCCAAACTGTTCGTTTGTAGCCTCTGTTTGAGTTCCAAAGTCACGTTTTTGTTTTTCTTTAGGGTCTAAAAAATTGTCTTCAATTGCTACATCAAAGTGTCTTCCTGCTTCTTCTTCAAATAAAATGTTCCTTCTGTTCATTAGGCATTTATATCTCTTCATTGACTGTTCATGTCCACAATTTTCTTCATTGCTTTTTTTTTTCAGGATAGATTGTTGGATTATAAATTTGGACATCTTGGATCTTCACTTTTTTCCCATCTATAAAATGCATACTACATATCTGCACTGATTTAGAGAGTAGCCATTGTGATCTGTTTTTACTAAATTTACAAGGATATTTTTAGAAAATTATTCATGTCAATTTTTTAAAAATTAACAATTTGTATTTCTTACTTTTGTCTTTTAGCAAAATTTATCCATATTTGGCACCTCTGTTTAAGGTGTGGACATGCCGGAAAACAATAAAATGAAACTTTTGGCATTACATGTTGAGTGTTTGCTAGTGTATTAGAACATACAAACACAGAACAATTTACATTTGATTTACCCATGTTTAATATTATAACTCAAATATAAATTAAAAAACAATAAGAGATTTACTGTACTAGGTATCGTTTTCAGAATCTCTCAGATACAACGCATATGCATTCTTTAGAGAACTCCTATGTGTTACGTAAATATTTACCACCGGGGCAGCATGCGAGTAACTTGCACTCAGACTCTATTTACTAATTTTTTTCAAGCCTACGTATTTTGTGTGTTGTGACTATTGCAACTACGTCTATGACACGTGTGATTTTGTTTCGTCTATCATTGCAACGAACCACTCCGTCTGTGATTACAGTACAGTAGTGGTATATTTTGTGTGTCGTTTTCTACCATCGTCCGAGGCTCGTATTTGTAGTAAGAGGCAGAACATTTTACATTTATACTTTTATCCCGTTTACGCCACTGGGTTAACTCTACGCGAATCAACAACAAAAGTGAGACTCCTCTGGTCAAGGACCGGCATTCAGAAAAGACCACTGGCACTTCCAAACGAAAATTTGTGGCAGCACCACGCTTCCACTTCGTCCAACGCCCAACCTGTCGGTTTGAAAGCACTTTCAGAAAGGCGAGATCTCCATCCACCAGAGCAGTCCGACAGCACCTAGAAAGCAAACTGCATCTATTTTCAATAATTTTTTTCTCTCGTCTTTGGGTTCTGGCACGAGTTCGATTCTACTTTAAAGTCTCCAATAAAAACGTAAACGTACGAGTGTAAATCAAATTTTACATTACCGACAATTGTTTCTACCGCATAAACAGAAGCCGGTACGAAAAACTTTTGCATAATCAAACGATGCGACGACACGAAATTTGCAGGGATTTATTTTTATTTTCGACTCACCTTGGAAAGAGTAATTGCCATTTCGAAAGTTCCGACGGTGTCCATGTTGGCGGCGATGACGGGAATGCCTTCGTAACATTTTTCGGAGTTTCGAAACTTATAGGAACGATTTAAGTCGACCTGAAGAGGCAAAAGAAATCTGGTTAGCTACACGCCGGAGCAACAAGAGCAGCGCCAGTAACCATTTCGCCTTCCATTACTTCGCTTCTGGTCTTCAGCGTGCTTCTCTTGGGTCTTAAAAGTACGTCTTTAAAGTCCAATTTAATGTCATTGTCGATTCTGGGCATTTTACTGCTTTAATTTCCAAACGCAACGCTATATTGCGGAAACAAGCAGAAGCTGGCTGCTTCCGAAAAGAGAAGTGTTGCCAGACCGCATTACCGGCCAAAAAAACTCCAGATTGTCCTTCTTCTTGTTACTGTTTCATATGAAAACTGTCCTTTACCGGATGTTTCGATAAATAAACGCTGAACTTAATTTGAGAAATCGGGAGATTTCGACATAAAATAGACGACAAAAATAAATCCTTTTATTAACCAAATTTACGTCGTTCGTCGTCGTATTTATCGGTTCTTGGTCGCAAACTCCGAGTATTTCCGATGTTTACCGTTTCGTCTTCTATCTTCGTCGTTTTCCGATTCTTATTTTCCGAATACACATACTGTACTCCGAGTCTTTCTTACCGTACTGTATCCGATCTTTCTTCTGGGGAAACACCGACTGTAAAGTCTCGTTCTTGTGTCCGGGGTTCCATCACTACTGAAAAATGACGATTAGCTTTTACCCATCGTTACGAATTATTCGGTATTTTACCTTAATTAAAGTATATAAAGTATATGTGACGAGCCTCTACCGTGATAGTCTAGTATTTATATACTTTCAGGTAAAATATTGAACGATAGTAATAAGTTGTGGAAGTTCTAAGTCCTTTGGTCGTTCTAAACTAATTGAAAAACTTGCTGTCGTTGTACGATTTGTTAAACTGCCATAACTTCGAACTAATTATTGGATGTACCCGACATCCACGTTTGTCTTTTTTGCTTTGATTGTCTTTCATCTTCGTAGTCGAAGTCATCTTCGTAGAACGAAGATGACTTCGACTAAATCGTCTCGATAAAGCCGCGTTTACTAGGGTTTCTCATTTCCCGGGAAATTTGCCTCCAGCGGGATTACGAGAAAAATAATTTCTTTTCCCGGGATCCCGGGAAATTCCGGGATGAGATAGTAAAATAGAATTTTATATGAATAAAAATGATCATACAGGAATATCATAAATTTGAATAATTTAATTTATTTTCTAGTAAGTAACTAAAAGTGTAGGGCCAATCTCACCCATACGGACACGTTAGGCTCAATTAATTTATGTTCTCCTACATTATAAGATGAAAGTAAAATAAAGCGTTTCATTGGGATTTTTTAATGATTACGAAAAAAAATACTATTTTACTTCTAAAAATGAAATAAAAAATAAACTAAAGTGCGATGAGTGATATTTACTTTCAGCCAGTGCTCCGCTGTTCAATGATGCGCAAACACAATACATAGATATTACATGAACTAACAAGTAGAGACTTGTAAAACATAGATAGTAATATGCAGCAAGAAACCTCAAAATTTCTGTCTTAGGTGAGTCTTCAGGATGCAACTTTTCGTATAATAAATAATAGAAAGAAAACCTGACATAGTAAATTATTATTGAAATGCGAGATTTCCCGGGAAAATAAAATTTCCCGGGATTTTTCTCGTAGGGAATAAACGGCGAGAATCCCGGGAAAACGGGATCCCGGGAAAGAAACCCTAGCGTTTACATTATGCGGATATTGCTTGCGTAGGTACTCGCTTTCGAGTACAGTAGACCCCCTATAACGCGGGTTCATATAATGCGGATTCGTGTATCGCAGCAAAAAATTGCGACCGTATTTGTATAAAGACACTAACAGAGACTCGTAAAATGTCATCGCCGACTCGTGTCGCGACAGGATTGGTCGAACCTGGACCAATAGTGGACGAGCAGCCGAACTACTTACACGCTACGGAGAGTTTAGGCGGGTAAGTTGAGTTTTCTATCGTCTGTACAGTTATAGGCCTAAATTAAGTACTGTAAGTCTAATACAGAACTATAATTTTATACATTTCTTGTGAAAAAACATTTCTTATTCAACGGCCATAAAAATTATTTCTGTTAATGATGTCTCCAAAGTTCAACGAATTTTTCACAGAAAAATAACTTATCAGAAAATGCGCCCGCCGTTTGGTGCGCTGCTCCGCGACGAAAACAAACTTAAGCAATGGCGTTGTCGAACGGTGCACACTCGGTAAGTAATCCTACAATTTTTTGTTTATAGTATAGTTTATACGGATTATTCCCCAAAAATTATACGTGTTTTAGAAATGTTGAGTCGAATTAGTCTAGAATCGATTAATTTTATAGAAGAAAACATTTCAAACAGCCTTGGTCCGTAAACTTCACACGTGTCGGGCTGCGATTGGCTCATGTATTTAATGATTCCTACAACGCGAAATTCTTATAAAGTGAAACCTATCTACCGCGTTATAGGGGGGTCGACTGTACTTCCAAAAATGCTGTGGATGTTTACGCCTTAGATTGAAATTGTACAAGTTAGTATTAACGTTGGTGTACTGTACTGTACAAGCTTTTGGTTGTGTTTTAAAACCTGCATATATCAGAAATTTTGTATATTGGTATCCCTGTGTAAATGATGTATTGTTTGAAGAATTTCATACCGTACTACCAAAATGCATCTACGCGATCAAACCGCTTCGACTTAAGTTTATAAATGCCGCCAATCGCTGCTGGGACTTCTTTTTCACAACTTTGTTTTTCTCTCGTGTAGAGTGTTCTTATACTCCCTATTTTAATTTTAGGTCGTGTATGGTGGAATCCAGAGCCGTAACTAGCAATTCCTGTGCCGTGCAAGAATTTGCATTTAGGCCCCTTAATTTATTTGGTTTTGGAAAAATAATAAAACAAATACATTACAATAGATTTTAATAAGTTTTATTTTAATTGAATTTTTCTGGCTTTCATTTTAGAAAATTCATTAAATAAACCATCACAGAGCCGTAACTAGGATTATGGACGCCTATGGCCAAGAATAAAAATGGCGCCTTTTTAATTTTTATTATTAAAAAATAATTTTATTTTTAAAAAAATGCTATTGTAAAAATTTTTCTAGTGACGTTTAAATACTATACAGGGTGTATCAGAACAACGTTTTAAAAATTTGGAGGATTGTAGAGGATGAAATTTTGAACGTTTTGATATGAGAAACTATCGCCAAAAAAAGTGATAGAACGTTTCTACAGCACTTTGCACGTTCTATACGGTCGGTATGTTGCACTGGCATTCCCTCGAGCTTCACCATAACACAAATGCATATTAGCAAGTTCTCCAAATGTGTAGTTACCCTCCAAGAAGCCAGAACGTATCCACAGTACGTAAAGCACGATAAGCAGACAACTGTACACTGACTCACGTTGACTAACTGTGTGTTTACAGCACAGCTCCAGTGAATGCAAGGGGTAACCTGAAGAACGACAGGCACTAAGTACACAACGTCCTGTACACAGGCTCAGTTAGACCACTGTAGTTGTGTGTTTACAGTCTTCCATCCGCAGCAATAACATGACGTCAATGGACGGAAGGGTAGCTACCAAATTGAAGGGCGGTCAAGCACTCCTACCGCTGTACACACTTTAGTTCAAATTTCCAGCTATAGTTTCCTTATATCGAAATGTTCAAAATTTTATCATCTACAATCCCCCGAATTTTTAAAACATCATTCTAATACACCCTGTATAAAAATAAATATATAATTGTTTTTTGTGTTATTAATTTCGAATACATATTATTTCGAAACCTTCTCGTTGGCGCCTTTATTAAATCGACGCCTATGGCGGGGCTACATTGGCCATACCCTAGTTACGGCTCTGCACCATCATAATTAATATTTTTAACGATTGTATTCTATTGAAATAATAGAAATATTGGATAATCGTTCTTGTCCGATAGTTGATCTTAAATAATTTTTATTAAGTTTAACTTGCTAAAACTTCTCTCGCACGAAGCAATAGAAACGGGAAGAGTTAGAAATATTCGAAGAGTGATATTGATATTTAAGTAAAACTCAATTAAACCAAAATCATGAAGAGCCTGTAGAATATTAAGCGAAGATGCAGTTTCTATATTTTGTATAAGAGTCGTTACTTCAAAATTAAAACTTTCAATTTCACTTGTGAATTCGTACTTTTTTAAATCTTTGCTATATTTAATAGCGAGATCTGCAGCCGATTTTTTTTAAATCAGCAACAATCGTGTATTGTAAAGACGAGCCACAGAGAAAGCAAAAATCGTCACAGATAGTTTTCATTTTTTCATAACGCCAATCTATTTGACACAATAGAGTGCCAAGAACACTGTAAATTTGTATTTTAAATAATTTTTCGGGTGTCAAGTTACTTCCTTCATCTGACATTTCATCTATTTCCATTATCCAGTGGCGTAGCGTGGGTGTAAGCCGCCCGGGGCAAAGGAAAATTTCGCCGTCCCCTTATTTAGGTATCTCAATTTAAAAGACCAGAATTCAGTTTCGTCACAGAATAAGTAATGAAAAATTCCTTGCTAGTGTTGCTACCTTTTTAAAATCGCTGACCCGGACGGCAGGTGAGGTTTGTTCGAACAGAAGTTCCTGACTCATGCGTATGTCATTTTGCAATGCGAAGAATAATGTGCAGTGCATGCCGGTTTTAAATCAGTTACAGTTAGCGACTAGGGAGACTTGGATAGGAGTAACGCAAGTGACCTAGATCTATTGGATATAGAAGGTGTATATATATACGAATAAATCGTACAAGCAAAAAAAAGGGGGGGTCGACAGGTTGTACACGATATCCCGGACTGTCCGGATGGTAACACTATTCAGTGTTCGTTTCAATCGGTCCGAATCGTAGGTGCGACGAAAATATGTGATGAAATGATTCAAGTTTTTACAAGATATTATTATTATTTATTGTGAAATTTTGCCGCCCCTAAAACGTAATTTTTCCGCCTTCTAAAAAGTTCCGCCCGGGGCGGGCCGCCCCCACTACGCTACGCCACTGCCATTATCTTAACTTTTTTTTTCGTTTATTAAGAAATCCCTTTTCTATACTTTTTGGTTTGTTTTAAGAATATGATCAATAATAGCATCTATTTAATATCATAAAGCTATATCATTTACTATTTCCATGTACCTTTATATATTGAAGCGTTTTTCTGGACTATTTCTATCTTCTGCGTTTTCGCAACCCTTTTTTCAGTAACATTTTAAAGACTGCGGGAGCCCCTTCGGGGCCCTACGCGCCCGCATAGTTCGCTTACCGCTTAACCCGC